CATTATGGACTATTATCAAATCACTCATCATGACCTTTGTTAATTTAACATCCCCATGACTGGAAATCAGATGAGATCTGGAAAAACTTAGATGAATATAGAACTGCCACTATCATGTAATGACAAATACAGAGAGATGGAATTCATGTTATGGCTGAGAAATCTGTCAGTATCTGGCAAAAGCCAAAGACCTGGAACTTGATATGGATTTCTCTCATTCTACCATGAAGAGGTCACTGTCAAAATTATGCCAGGCAATCTCAAGATGGTCAATTAAACCCCCACTAACTCTAAGGGAGAAGAGAAGGTTGAAAAAAAAGCAAAGTTTCCCTATTTCTGCCACAGAAAGGATACTTGCTATTACTGTCTATACAAATACTCAAACTAAGTCTTTGTGAATCTTTGATCTAGGGGATTTAAATACATCTTCCAGTGTAATACTATGGAATTGTGTATGACTTTAGACTTGCAGGAAATTTTCAGAAAAAATAGGCCTGAAGCAGACACCTGGAGTGAAAAAATTTCAGTGAGGATAAGTAAAATTTACATTACAAGTAACTCAAAGTAGGATCATTATAACAGAAATTTGAAAATAAGTTTTGAAATTTGTTTGGTGGTATTTGCCACTTACATTTCCTTACATGCCCATTTCAGATAACTAAAAACTTACTCATCAGGATCACAACACAACCAGGCACTTTTTCATACATTTTTTGTACCTGAAAAACATACTGATTTTCTGAATACAGTGATGAACAGTTCTATCTAAGATCACTTATCCAACTAATTATTTATATTAATGAATACATAAACAATACAGAAATGGACAGAAGGTCCCAGAACCACCAGTATTATTTTTAACATATAATCACAATGGAGGAGGATGCTGTTAAAAAAAATAAAAATCAACCATAATTAATATTAATACTTACAGTAATCCTAGCTCTCTTCAAATCAAGTATACAGTCATATGCAAGCTTAATGCAGTTTACTTTCACAGAAAAACGAGCCAATTCCAGAATCAAAGGAATCCTTCAAAAATAGAAAAATGTCACTTCAGAGAATCTGATATTGCTCTTCAATGGAATTAGAAAAACACTGTATGAAAGTAACTGTGCAATACATCTGAAAACCTTGAAGTCATCTGAATATTAGAGGATGTGATTATACTAGTAATGCTCACAGTCAACAAGGAAAATTATTAAAGTTGGCTACATTAATAAGTTCATCTGTTTATTGGAAAATCATTAGTATACTTCTACTGTAGTCTAGCGCAAACTGTTCCTGAAGAATGCAAAAAATACAGAATGAAATGTATGCATTATAAATATGCTGAAATAGCAAAAGAAGACTGTAGGTAATTCTGTACATACAATGCAGCCAACTGGCACACAGCTTAAAACAGTCAAATCCATCGGTCAGTTATTTAGGAACTAAGAACACAGAATACACACAGTAGGAGACCGTGTTCTAAATGTTTGGATCTCAACAAATAAGTGAACGAACATAGTGTACTGTCTGGGATAGGAGAAGTAATGAGACATCTGAACATCATCAAAGAAGACTGACCTTAGCAAATCAAGATGTAGCATTAGTTGTATGTGTAACAGCTGTGATATAACTACTGGAATAGAGAGCTCAGTTTAGTTTGTGTTTCAAAATTCTGCTAAAGAATTGGAAAGGGCCCCAAAAAAAGCTAAAAATGAACTAAAGTCTAAAAAGCACTTGTCAATTCTAAGACCTTTCAAAAAATCTCATTTTATCAACAAGAAAGGGTTATGGAAAGATTTAATCACATTATACAAACAGCTATATGGAAGAAGATACTTAATCTTGGGTTCTTTAATAAAAGCCTAAGAGAACCTTTGTCTTTTTTTAAGACGAGTTAAGCATTAACAACACCACAAACTGTTGTAACTAAGTATGGGTTCACTCTCTTCATGGTCAACAAGAATTTTGACAGACTTCAGTGGAACCAGAATGAGCTTCAGCATCATCCTTCACAGGGCTATGACAAGTAAAACTCACTTCACACTGAGAACAGATGCTGGAGGTACATCGTATTGTTTCAAAAGTACATATACAGAATTCAGATCTGCTGTTGCATCACTTGGAAATTCATTTGTGTCCCACTGCCTGCAACATATTAGGAATTGATCATAATTTTTCACAATAAATATTACTGAATTAAAAATTTTAAATAACTCTCAACTTCAGAATGGAAGGCTCTTAGTCTAATGTTATCAGTGAGGAACCTGGATTTTGAAATATCAAAGGGAAAAGAAAAATCAAGTCAACAAAACCTACTTCAGTGTGCCAAGTAAGTTATGCAGAGACGGACAGATACGAAGCACAAAGAACATTCCAGCATAAGAATTAATATTTCAGATAGTATAAGTAAATTTTATTCCTGAAGCAAAGAAAATTGGTGTGCAGAAGTCCTTTCCTATAATGTCAACATAAATTAATCCACTGTTACTAAGTGGATTTAAAATGGGGAGGTGTTGAGACATTGAAAAAAAAAAAACCTAAATGAGATTTTGTTATGAAGTCTGATTTTCAAAATTGTTTTATGCCTTTAAAATTTAAAAAGTATAATGCTTCCCATTCTTGCAATTCATGTATTATATTTCAGGTGTGATTTCCCCATTTCATCTTTACTCTCTTGTACACAACTTGTGTACCAAACCACAATGTGTTGGATACAAAAATGTCTTTCATTCTCTTAAATTCTTTCACCTGAGAATATCTGTATAACACACTATTCCCTATATTCTCTTTAGCTCAGGCTGTTCTCTAGACAGGTCTGACAGTTACTACCCAAACTACCACTGTATTTTTTCTTTTGAGAAACTAATCCTTGCAGTACATTTTTCTACTGGCAGATGGGATACCAAAACCTGACCCTACCTCTGTAATATTAAGCATCAAAGTACAAGTGGAAGGATACATTTTAATACTTACAATCTTAACATCTGCATTTTATAAATAACTGAAAAATGGATAGAATTTTGTATTTCCTTCTCTACCTGGGAAATATCCATCAGTTTGTGATATACCTATAAAATAACAATTTAATCATTAACTGACTAAGTAAGCAAACAAAGGATATACACTCAACAGGGCTAAAACAAAGCAGGTACATTGACTCTAGGCTTTTTAATGGACTTTAAGGGCAGTGAGGCTATTACAATAATCTATGTTGTTCTGCACAGATACCACAAAGATCAACTAGTAGAGCTATACTAATCTTCACACAGTGAGGATCAGCAGTAGTAGTAGAAATCTAAATGTGGAACTAACATCTAAATCAGAATTCTAATTAATGCAATTTTAATAACACCTTTCGATAGCACTAATTCTGAAATCATCTCATCCAGTTACAAGAAATGAGGCCTATTCAAATGTACCTGTAACTATAAATTATATATAACAAAAAAAAATTAAAAATTACAATAAACTGTAGTTATTTCAATTTAACTATAGAGTTACACATTAAACGTGCACATCATTTCTTCTGACTCTTACACTGACTGCCCATAGCAATCAATATGGACTACTTAAGCTGTAGTAGTTACGGGAAAAGTAAGTTTTGCAGGACTTATGTATGCCGTTACTAAAGCACTCAACAGCATGGATCATACTTCTGCAGCTCCCCTGAGGCACAGAGCCCAAGTACAATTTTAGAACTATTTTATTCTCCTGTTTAAGGCCACTGTCAAATAGCTTTGCTCAACACTGCCTCTAAAAAATAAAAAAGTAATTTTGATCTTGCCTAAATGTTTTTGCTTCATCAATATCACACCTCTGGAAGGTTGCATATTGGTTCTATTAATTCAAATGTTAGAGAACATTATATTATAAACAGACGGCCTTGAAATGCAGTGATTAAGAGTGGACAGAAAAGACAATGGACAGTGTAGCAGAATGAAAGAAAATATGACTGCATGCAACTTGCAAGTTTTATTTGCCTGTTTCCAGTTTTGCACATTTGTCTTCACCCTCTTATTTCCCAAACTAAGGGCATGCAAGAAATGTGAACTACTGTCATATGCTCTGATTCCCAGAACTATTTATAGGGTTCAAGTTGGGTCATTTAAGTATTTATCAACATGAGAAAAGTCAACAGATGCTAAATATGTCCTCAATGGCATAAGGTAGGTTAAGCTGCACCCACTATACCTTCTGTTAATAGTAATTATTCCCAAAGAGAATTTTTAGGGTTAACAACAGTTATCCCAATTATATTATGTTGTATTAAAATGGCACAGAGCAGTGGGAACTCTTTAGCTTACAGTATCAAAAATATACAAATTATGCAAATCCCTGCATATCTACTGCATTGTTTGGTAGCTCACAAAATTCAAATGAAGGAAACAACATATTTAAAAATTATAACTATGATCTTATTAAACAAAGAAATCTTCTATCATACTGGGAGTTTAAAAAATTTTAGAGCATTACCATTAGAGAAAATATTTGAGAGTATTTATCTGGAACATTTTCCTTAATAAAGATTGCTGCAGTAGATGAAAACTCTTTTGCTTCTTTCAGTTTTGAAGCATCGAGGAAGCACTCAAGTAAATTTCTGCAGATCAAATAGATATTTGTATTAAATATTTATTAACGCTTTCCAAAGTAATGATTTCTATTTTTTCCAGAGATTCTTTATATTCAAAGTACCAATCCTAAATGCAGTACAAACTATTAGTGCTATAAAGCACTGACTCAATAAAAAAGAGATCCTCTAACTTCTACATCTTTGTTTCTTCCAGAGATATACAGCTGTTAACATACATTTATTGCAGATCACAAAATTAATCTTGGAAAGGGAGATTTTTGTGGAAACTTTTCCCAACGGGACACCTCCTGATTTAAAAGGACTGCATATAAGCAATGATTCAAATACAACATACAAAATGACTGTGATACTACAAATTGGACCTAGGGCCTAATTGTCTCTGACACTAAAATTTTAACCTTAAAGTAAATATTGAAATGAAGCACGTTTTATGTTAAACATTTATTTATATATCTTTAAAAAGTTATGAATTAAGCTTCCCACAATAAACGTATCTACAATATTTCCAATGAAATATACATTATTAAAGACTACCTCAGGTGGCAGCCACATGTACAAGAGGACTACAGAATACCCATATGAAAAAATACAATTAAACTTACATCATGAGTTCTGCTCTCCATTCATTGTCTTGCTCTTCAGTTTGGTTTAATGATTTAACAACCTGAGAAAGGCTGGGAATAAGAAAACAGCGGAATCCAGGCCTAAGATAAGGTCTCACTAGCTGCCAATAAAGAACTGAGGCATTATATATCAAAAAATAGTATCTGAAAAACAAGAATCAAGAATTTAGTATTACATGGACTTCATAAAATCACAGACAAGAGTATTTTAAGACACTTCTAAAAAGCAAAAATTTGAACTTCTCCTACACATTTAGGTAAGAACCAATCCTGCCCAATAACTGAGAACACAAGTACAGCACAAGAATAACGTAACTCTTGCAACTACACTCTACCCAGTAATTAACTACTTAAAATAAGCTAATACGGTGCTCTCCTTCTAGAGAGCATAAATACAAAATGGGAAGAAACATTCTGAAATATCTACCAGCCTTAAACAGGCTGATTTATCCCATCTATTTAAGACTGCTCAGTATTCTTACGCTGTCGTAGCAAGCACGGTAGTTACAGAAGTGCAGCAACAAAATTGAAGGAAAATCCACAAAAGCAGAAAAAAACCAAAGAACACAACTCTAGACTACCTAGTAAAAATCTGTGACAAACAACTATGAAAACCTAACTCAGTAACGTTTCCTTAGATTTAAAGAGTTAATCCTACCAGTAGGGCCTACCTTCGATCATGGGTGGCAAAATCTATTGCCTTCATAAAAAACTGCACAAACTTCTCAAACTCTTCCTAGAACAGAACAAAAAAAAATAGTTAATGCAATTTGAATATGGCTTTTATAAATCAGTACATTATTTTCCTATTTCAATATGTTCATATCTCACAATTTTTATTTTCAGAACAATCTCAAATAAAACATACTGCCACAGAAACAGAATAACTAAAAATTGGTAGCATTGCCTATTACTGTGTTTTCCTGATTTCAAATTTTAAGACTATATTTTCATTTTCTTTCATTTCTGTCAAACTTTAATTATCAGGACTGAAATTTTCCAAAACTGCAAAGCTGCATATTTTTTAAGCTTTCAGCAAATAAAGCTCAGGAACATCCAAGAGCAAAGCCAGGGGAAAAAAAAATACTGATTTGTCCCATTAAAAAGCTGGAAGTATGATTTTATTCAGAAAAGCTCCAAAAAGAATTTGTCAACTCAATGGTGTGTCAGGCATGCTCTTTTTATTGTTAAAACAGCTGGGAAGCAGCTTTTCAGAGAAGGAACTGGGGTCCTGGAGGACACCAAGTTGCACAGAAGCCAGCAGAATGCCCTTGCCACGAAGGTGACTAAGAGCGTCCTGCGCTGCCTTAGGAGTAGTGTTGCCAGCAGGTCGAGGGAGGTGAACCTTCCCTGCTGCTCAGCACTTGTGCGGCCATACGTGGAGCACTGGGTCCAGTTCTGGGCTCCCCAGTACAAGACAGACATGGATACTGTGGAGAGAGTCCAACAAAGGGTCACAAAGATGATGAAGGGACCAGAGCATCTCTCACATGAGGAAAGGCTGAGAGAACTGTGACTGTTTAGCCTGGAGAAGGTGGATCAAGGGGATCTCATCAGTATGTACAAACAGCTGAAGGGAGCGTGTAAAGAAGATGGATGGGATCATAAAAAGGGATTTCTGAAAGCCTAAGAGAAAGATGCAGTGGAAATAGCAAAGAAGAGGTGGAACTGGATGGGCAGGAAGGGGATGACATCAGAGGGCTCTTTATAGTGAGACAGAACAGAATAGCTAAAAACTCCAAGCGAGTTGGGACTGATTTACTGCACTCTGGGACTGGCACAAGAAGGCTACTGAGCAATGAGTGAGAACTGTCTAGATTAAAAAAACCCCAGGATTAAGAGCCTGAAAGATATTAGATACTGAAGTAAAAAAGTTTCACCTGGCCCTTAAGAACATAAGCATCTCAATCAGCTAACAAGGATTCGTTAGGATGGAAACCAAAATAAGGACAACTTTATCTTTTCTAAGTGAAGGTTGATTACTAGTCATACAGCATGAAACTATGTGCCACTCGTATTTTCATAAATGATCTAGAAACACAGCAGTGAAAAAACTTTACAACTGATACACAGTGTATCTTCAAAGCACATTACAACACACAGCTCAAGGGAACCACGTTGGGATTGCAAATACTGCAATAGTTCTTAACTTCCAAGAAGTTAGCAAGAGTCAGGAAGAAAACAGCAAAATTTGGTTGCAATTTAGAAAACATCACAGAATAGTTTGTTTAATTTAGAAACATAAAAGGCTAACTGAACATTAGAAAATACCTTTCAAATGCATATAAAGTTTTAAAGAGACCACTGATCAGTTGTTCTGCACATGCTCTTAGAGAAAGCAGAGAATGTACAGATAATATAACAGGGAAGAGATTCTAGCTTTAAAGTTAATTCAAACTTTAAAGTTTCACATTATTCAAAGAAACTACAGCAACATCTGTCACAGAAATTTGTGAACACAAATGACACACATCTGTCAAGGCCATTTTTGGGGGTCAGATATCATTGACTAATTGTCAAAGCTGACTGACCACAGTACAAGCTCAAGTAAAATACTGAAGACAGAAAATAGATTCCACTCTATTTTAAATTCTGCAGCACCTAAAAACTGCTCATCATATATGGACACAGTATCACCAAATAGTAACACACAGAAGCTTTCAGAGGCAGAAGTATCCTGCTGAGTTGCTACCAGAAAGCTCCACCTCTCATTTCAAAAAGCCACATCCAAAGTAGTTCGTGGAAAGGTTACTAATCAGTGGTGGAAACACACTGTCACAGAAATGTACTGTACAACCTCTCTGAGAGCCCCTTTAATTCTCCATTTCCCACAATTATTTGAAATGCTTAGTGTGATCCTAAAAAAAAAAAAGGTAGATCCTTAAAAAAAAAAGGTAATTGTTTTACCAGTTACAGTTAAATTTGGTCTGAAAGTATCACATGGATGTAAAAAGTTAAAAGGTTGACTTTAAATCAACCATCTGAAAAATTTTGCAAGCATTTTTTTTTTTCCTCCCCAAAGTATTTGTAATATCAGTCTAATTCAGCTGGTAAATTTTGTTTACTCCCAAACCACCCATTAATATATTTTCCTTGATTTTTCCCACAGTCTTGATTACCCTTCTGTGTTTTAAATGACTGAAAGCAATACATGAAAACCTAGGATGAAATACTCTTAAGAACTGGATTAATATAATGCAGCTTTCATAATTTCTTACCAAGTTATCTGTAGAGAGTGGAGTGTGCAACTGGCCTTGGCACAAATATGCTCTGCCAAGAAACTGGTTCACAGGAAATCTTCCTTTAAAATACATCTGTAGGCAGTCACTGCTCATTTCCAGACATCCCAGCTAAGACCAAAAAAAGCATTTTAATATTTAAAAAATGCAACAAAGATTATTGTTAGTCTTTAAAAATGCATGCCTACTCAAAGTGTAACATCTAACTGCATACTAGTACGCAAACAAGATTCCATAAAGTTGCATATCCGATCTGGTGACAAGCCCATTAAAATTTATTAAAATTTAAAGCTAGACTTCCGTCATTCCAACTGTATAGAAAAACAGCTTCTTTATTTAACAAAGCTCCTGAGTCAGTCATAGAACTTCTTATAGTATACAAAAAATGTTTCATTTTTCAATAGCCTTTAAGAGCCTTTGTTAGAAGACAGAATTCTTAGTAGAATTTTTTTAATAAAAGGACAGTATCTCACAGACTAATAAATATTAGCTTGTGAGATACTGTATGGATGTCAGTGCTGCACCTAAGTTTTTAGACAATGGAGAGAATTTGGGTGACTTGCAGCTTGGGAGAAAAAAAAAAAAAAGCTTTATCAGAAACTCTGTCTGCTTGAAAACCAATCACTTGTACCCATGGATTGAAAATTTTTAAATACTTCAAAATTAAGAACCTCTACCACATTTTATAGAAGTCAGCTCAATTAGCAACAATCTTTCATAATTAGAATGTCATCTTTTCTTTTTTTGACCAGTAGAGACTGTTCAAAACCACATTTTCTTCAGTCATAACCAAATTGCTAACTTTAGGTTTCCATAAGAAGAAAAAACAGGCAAGGCAAACTATTTTATATTACTATGGTATACCTTGCATATTTTGGTCTAATTACAAACTTCACAAACCACAGTTTGCTGACTGATTATAAAGAAGTGATAATTTAGAGGCAGAGTTTTAACTGAAAATGCATGTTTAAACAATCACGCTCCAAAACCAGAAGAGTGCAATATTTTCCACAGGTACTTCTGGGAATATTTTAAAGTAGTAACTTTAACAACTGTAAATACAATATATTTTTATTCAATGTTTTTATTCAATACAGATAAATGTTTTTATTCAATATGTACAGATAAATGTTTTTTATTCAATACATATAAACTGGCTAAATTACAAACCTGAAATGCTTGTTCAGCACATAAAACATATAAATCAGGGCTGAAGTTATCTGATGAGTCAAGTGCAGATTTTCCTTGACTGGCTAATTTGATCAACTCATAAGCATTCTTCAAAGCCTGAACATCTGAAATAAAAAAGGAATAAAGAATGTAACAGGTAACATATGCTTCAAGGTCGAGTGACGGACATGACTGCATTATTTCAAATTAACTATATAGCATCCTGTTTCTCCTGTACATAAATAAATAATGAATGTTCAAGGAAAATAACGTAAAACAAATGTTCAAAGTCAGCCATGGTTGTAAGATGAAGCATTAACAACTCTCCTGCAATTTAAAATCACAAGAAAGTGAACTACTCTGAAGGCCCGATTCACAGTTCCCTGAACTCATCACAGAAATTCCAGTCGATCCTTAAAACTTTTAAATGAAGTAAACCGGACTAGAAGAAAAATGGGTTAAACTAAGAACACTATAGCAGTTACTTCTTATCATAGTGAAGAAGCACATTCAAAGCATTCAGAGAAAGAATACTTTTTCTACATATTTAGAAACCAAAAAGATTAAGATCAAGCACTTTTCGTGTTTAGAGAGTGGTTTTTATTTTACTTCTTTTAAAAGAGGGACAAAATTTCGCAGCCGTCTGGCAGGCTCCTACCTCGGCGGCTCTCTGCGGCGAAGAGTCGCTCCCTGATGGCCAGGTCTAGGCCCAGGCCCAGGCCCAGATCCATGCCGCCCACCGCGGCCTCCGTCTAGCCCAAGGCGGCCCCTTACGCCGCGGGCGCCACCGACGAAGC